GTGTGTGTGTGTGTGTGTGTGTGTGTGTGTGTGTGTGTGTCTGTCCCCGTCCATCCGTCCATGTGACTCTGAATGCATGTGTGTGGGGTCTGTAAGCCTGTTGTGTGTACACATTCTAGCTAGACTTTGGGTTTCTTCTATCCTTCTCCACCTGTTCCTTTGGGGCACAGTCTCTTCCCAAACCTGGGGCTCACATTTTCACAGCTAGGCTGGAAGCCATCAAGCCTGGGCAGCCCTCATCTCCATCCTGCCCAGAGCTGCGGTACTGATATACAGTGGATGATACCTGGCTTGTTCCATGGGTGCTGGGATCTGAACCCCAGTCCTCATGATTATTCAAGAAGTTCTCTTATCTAGGAGCCATCTTTCCCGCCCCAGAAGTTTAGTGGTTTAATGCATAACTTATAGGATACATTCTAAGTATAATTATATAAAATGGATAGTACAGATTGAGTTTCCTAATCTGAATGCTCCATAATCCAGACTTTTGTGTATGTGGTATTGGGAATTGAGCCCAGAGCCTTATAGGAGCTCAGGTACCTTTAATGGTGTTGTAAACAGCAATTAGCAGGATACAAAGCCTGCTACAGTCTATAATGTGTATTCTGTCTTAAGATTCGGAGGACAAGACAAAAGTTATAACAAGCAGTTGGACCGGTGCATGGTAGGAACTTGGAGGTGGGAACAGTGCTGGAAGAGCAGTTTCAGGGACCAGAGCTGGAGTTTGGCTTTGTTAACACCAACTCTGAAACCACAGGACTAGAGAATGAATTCCCATCACATAGCTCTTCATGCCAGGCTGTCACTGTGAAAATTTGCATGCATAAAAACATTGAGTGGGGGGCTGGAAAGATGGCTTATCAGTTAAGAGCACTGACTGCTATTCCAGAGGTCCTGGGTTCAATTCCCAGCACCCACATGGCAGCTCACAACTGTCTGTAACCCTAAGATCTGACAGCCTCACAGAGAGAGAGACATGCAGGCAAAACACCAATGCACATAAAATAAAAATAAATATAAGATAAAAAAACATTGAGTGGGGCTGGAAAGTGGCTCAGTGATTAAAGTTCTTGCTGTGCAGACACCCCAGAACCCAGAAATTCTGGGTGGACCCCTCAGTCTGCCTGTAATTTCAGCAATTGGCAGGTGGAGATGGGGTCCCCTAAGTAAGCTGGCTAGCCCAGCTGTACCTGTGAGCTCAGGCTTATTTGGAGAGACTGCTACAGTGAATATGATGGAGAGCATTGGAGGAAGACTTGTAAATTAGCCACAGCCTTCCACAAACACACACGCTTTCAGATAGATACTCACTCTCTCTCTCTCTCTCTCTCTCTCTCTCTCTCTCTCTCTCTCTTCTTCTCT